CTTGCGCGCTTTCCAGCCTGGCAGGAGCGGCACCACCGGACCCGGTGCGGGGAAGGAAGCGGAATCTCTTGATTGATTGATTGATTGATTGATTGATTGATTGATTGATTTACCTCCCCGTTTGTGCCGAAGTCCTCCTTCTGGGCGGCTTACGAGCAGCGAGAACAAACGACGCAGAGCGAAGAAAAAAAAGGAGAAGCCCTAAATAGATCATACCTACCGGCAGGGCTGGGCAATTAATTTCTATAGGGGGGGCCGCATGAAAAATCTGAACTGTGCTCGGGGCCGAACCAACTTTACTTAAAAATACTATAAAATGAAACAGTGATATTACGATTGTTTTTTTTTAAAACTTGTTAATCTTCAGAAATACTAAAGAGGTTTTTTGCGGTGTGTTAAAGATAAGCAACGGATCAACTTTAGACAAAAAGCTATAAATGGTTTTGATGTTCAAAACTGTCCACGGGCCGGACAGGAGTGGCTCGCGGGCCACACTTTGCCCAGGTCTGCCTAACGGAGACATGGTCTAGCCATCCGGCCTGGCCCTCTTTTAATTCCATTCCGAGCCAGGGAGTCACGAGTGGACTCGAACTCGAAGAATAACGAGCAAAACGGCACTCGTTATGTATTCCTTACTGCAGACACACGCACACACTCGCGTCCCCCCCCCCGCGCCCCCCTTTCCCCAGGGGACCTTGAGAGTCCCTTTCTTAATTCGCAGCACTCAGCACGTTAAATGTGGCTCCCGCTTGCCCTCCTAGATGCCAAGGGTCCGGGGCTTTCTCCTCCTCCTCCTCCTTTGACCCCTCCCCTCCCCACAACAACCTGGCGAGGTAGGTCAGGCCAGTCAAAAGGTCCCCGGGGTGGCTTGCTGTAGGCTGGAACCTAGCGCTCTCAAGTCCCGATGCAACACTGTAGCTATTGCCCCACACTGGCTACCCTTGCCACCCACCTTCATCATCATCACCACTACTATTAACACAATAGGCACCAAAACCAACGGTCTAGGATGGTTATAGAAGGGGTAGCTCTGTAAGCCTGTGCAAGCATTACAGGTGAAAGCAAAGTAAAAATAAAAAGTAAGAAAAGACACCTGAAAGACTAAGTTTCGTATATATTTTTTAATGTGAGCTGTTGTGGACGCATCCACTTCATCAGGCCCGATGGGGATGTCACTGATCCACTCACTTCTCCCAAGGGCCGCTAAGGCTGGTGGCACATGAAAGCTGGGCCAGTTCCCCTTCAGGGCCTCCTCCATCTTACTTCACATCCTAATTTATCTCATCCCTACCTCTTGCCTGAGCTTCCCCTTCCAGAAAGGGCCCAGAGCTCCTGCTCCTGCTCATTTAAATCTAACCCCCACCCCTCAGACCATGCAGTTAGTGAGAGCAAAGGTCAGCTAGAAGAAAAATACCTCCCCCAGATAAAATGTGTCCTGAGCACACTCCTGTCCTGCAGCGAGTCCTGGACCCTTTTGTGCACGGCAGGAGAGCAAGCTGAACACCTTCCATATGCGTTGCCTCCGACGGATTTTTGGGATCACCTGGCAGGAGAAAGTTCCAAATAGATCGAGCTGGAAATTTTAGCATATATACATTACTGAAACAGCGCCGTCTACGTTGGCTTGGGCACGTCATGAGAATGGCTGATGGTTGGATTCCAGAAGATCTCCTGTATGGAGAATTAGTGCAGGGAAATCGCAGAGCGCGATACCATAGTCTTTTGAGACAGAAGGGTGCCTAACCTAACCTATTGCCTTCTCTCCCTGCCTTTATTTATCTAAATTATTTTTACCCTGCCTTTCTCCCTTTAAAAAAAAGAGAGAGAGAGGAACCCAGGCAGGGTACATCATTAAAAAGACAATATCTGAAAGGCTGGCGCCTCCCAAAGCAGGGCTGCTGAGGACAGGACAGGTTGGAGACCGTGCAGTCATTGGGGGAGCCCGGGGGGGGGGTGTCACCGCGAGTTGGAGGCGAGTTATTTATTCATTTCAACTCTTTTTTGTTACCCCACCTTTCTGCTTAAAAAAAGGACCCGTCATTGAAAGACAACGTTTCACGCTCAGAACCACGAGTAGTCAAGGATGGTTAAAAGGGACTACAGTATTTAAAGTTAAGAGCCATGAGGATAAAGAGGCATCTCGCATCATTCAAAGGCCACGAAGGGGATTCCGACCCGAGTCCTCCGAGTCTTTGTCGGGCATCCCAACCGGTTTACGTCAATCAGGGAACTGAATCCTGAGTCTGTTTTCCTTGGCGTAATTGGCATTTCATCCAGCATTTCACACACCCCCTCCCCGTATATCTGACGAAGGGGGGGGGGGTCCACGAAAGCTCACGTGACAAAACCAGAGCGGGTGGTCAAGGGGCCACCACTACCGTTTCTCTCTCTCTCTCTCTCTCTTTTAATTGTTTATTTCCCTTGTGCTTCTTTGGAAGTTGGCCTTGACAGCCTGAGAAGCCACGACGGAAAGCTGAGCAGAGCCAGTAAAAAGAGGCCGCTGAGAGGCGTCCCAGAGAGAGAGAGGCATTGTGCATTCCCGGAGGAGAGCAGCGGCCACCCACCGGAGCCTCCCGGGCAGAAGCCTCAGGAAGGAGCCCTCCCGGAGCATCTCCCGAGAAAATGGCTGCCATCAGCTGTTCGGCGGGTCAAAAATGGCCGCCGGAACAGCCGAAAGGGGCCGGG